AAACCATTTTAAATGCTGTATTTTGTCTGTCTTTGAAAGGTTTTGAAGACTACCTTTTCAGTTGAAATATGTCTCTTATTTCTAGAAAACCTATCATAAGCTTTGACTATTATAGGAGACTATATATAATCTGTATTTAATTATACATTACGTTTTTTAATGGACCGTATAAACACAATATCTAAACAATAATAGAAATATACCTGTAACAAAACTGACCTTAAATGTGTATCAATAAATCAAAATCCATACCAATACAAAGTATTTGTTTCTATATCATATTCCCCCTTTTTTTTCTTTAGAAGGAGATTGACTATGATCATTAACCATTTATAACCAACCCTGGTTAAATGAAAACAAACATTTATAAACAATATTTGGGAACGTGAACATAGTTCTCTCCAAACTGCTTCCTGCTGTTTGGGGGCGCTGTCAGTACCATGGGACTCCTGAGAAAACCCAGAAACCTGGGCGAATACTGGCTGTAGTGGTCCAAGGCTGCATCCTCTCAGCTGCTTTGGATGTGGGCTCACCCGGGCCACTACTTCAGGGGGTCTTGCTTGATCAAACCATATTAGTCTGGAAGGAATTCACAGCTCTTCATCTTCTGTGGAAACAAAAGCAGAACATCTATTAAGTGGCTTTTTAATTACTCTATTTCTTTCACTTTTACTTATCTACTTATTTTTATTTATTTTTTATTTTCAGACAGGGTTTCTCTGTGTAACTTTGGCTGTCCTGAAATTCACTCTGTAAACCAGGCTGGCCTTGAAATCACAGAGATCCTCCTACCTCTGTCTCAGGCGTGCTTGCCAAGGCTTGGAGAACACTGTGCAAGAGGAGGCAGGAAGGATGTTAGAGCTGGAGGCTGGGGAGGGGTGCTGTGAAATGCTGTCTCCTGGACACGATGGGACCACTGTACCCATGAACTCACTGTAGCCATGGTTTCCTTGGAGCAAGGCTGGGAATACTGTGGGCCATGCCACAAGCAACAAAGAATGCCAGACCCTCAGTATGCCTCACGACCTTACAACTCTTCAATATGCATCCCGTCGTATACTCACACGCAGCAGGGGGCAGGGGGAGGCAATGCAAGAAAACTCACAGAACTCTGCATCACACACAGCCTTGGGGGGGTGCAAGAAAACTCATGGAACTCTGCATCACACGCAGCCTTGGGGGGGGGTGCAAGAAAACTCACGGAACTCAGCACATGATGGCACAAAACCAGGGAATAATGTCACAGTGCTTCAGTGACCAGCAAAGAAACAACCATTATGTTCTATTCACGCTATAATACCGTCCATAGATGATGTGAATGGATTAAAGATACAGGCAAAGTCATGGAATTAATGCATAAAGAAGTCAATGGAGTATACAATACAGTGCTTTTAGCCTTAAAAGAGAAATCTATCTGAACCTGTAATCCTAGCACTCTCAAGAGCGTGAGGTAAAGGCTAGCCTGGGCCTAGCCAGGGCTACACGGAGAGGCCCTGACAGGAAAGGGGAAGAGAAAGGGACAAGGAGAGACAAAAGAGACGTTACAACTTGCAGTGGTGATGTGGATAAACCTGGAGGACATTAGAATTAGTGAAATGAGCCAGATACAGAAAGGCAAACCCGGGCACCTAGAATAACCAAATTCATAAAAGCAGAATAGAATGGTGGCTGATGTGGTGGTGGGGGAGCATTTGCGGCTTGGTATGTATGAAGTTTCACTTACATGAGATAAGGGATTGTCAAAGAGCTACCCTGCGATTCCTACAGCAGCAGCCTGGTGCTGTGCACTTTAAAGTGCGCTATGGCCAGGGATTGGTAGGATGACTTAAGGCTAAAAGTGTTTGTTACTCAAGCTTGACAGCTTAAGTTCAATGAACCAGGTGTGGTGGAGAGCACACCTGTAATCTAGCACCCAGGAGGTTGAGGCAGAGGGATCCTAAGTGTGGGGCAGCCTAGGCTACGTAGTGAGATCTTGGTTAAATACACACACACACATACACACACACATGCTCTCTCTCTCTCTCTCTCTCTGTCTCTGTCTCTCTCTCTCTCTCTCACACACACACACATACACACACGAAGGTTAAATAAGTCACAGTAAAGAAGAAAAAAGACACAAGGAAATAGTTGTTTATGTTTGGTACCAAAGTGGTGGCGTCAATACTATCGGTTATTTACGTGTGTTCAACCTCATCAAGATAGATACACTAAATATGCATAACTTTTGACATACAAAATTTTATCATTTTATAAAGCTTGATATAAGAAACATTTTTATATGTATAATTTTGTACTGAAACCATGAAATAGAGTACTGATAGAAAGACTGACCAGAAGATTCAGGATACTTTTCAGGGTAGGCTTTCTGGGGTTGTCAGTGGATGAGTTAGTAAAGGCTCACCAAGATGGCTGCCGCTATGCTGCATGCATTCAAATATATGTAGCTCATATTCTCTTTGGTACTTCATACACTGCCTCCTGCCTCTTACTATCCTAATAATAGACTCTATTTTAGAAAACAAAAATGCGGAGAGTCTAGTAGAAATGGCCAAGTAAGCTGAGGTGCAAATTCAAGTCACTTACAATAGTTGCAACCCCAACATTCCAGGACACGTGTCACGCTCCCCCATACGCTTCTGCTGACCCCCAGTAGTGTTCCCACCTCCTGTTGGTTTAACACTTATTCTGAGAGTCCTGCTGTGTGCCCGGGGTCAGACGGGAAGAATTGTTCCTTACTCCATAAATGTCCAGAGTGTGAAACGTTGAGACCCAGAAGTGCCAAGTTGGAGCAAAGCCACGGAATCACACGCAGTCCTGGATGGACTCCCCACGGCAGCAGAGGGGCCACTGTTGGCCAGAGAAGAAATGGCTTCATTCCTGGCACAGATGCCCTCTTCTGGGCAGCCATTGCCGTTGCTCTCAAGTAGGCAGGGGCATGACCATACGGTTACCGTTCTCCAACCCGCTGCCCATGACCACAATCTGGTTTCTCAACCCCAGGGACCCACACAGGACTGGTCAAGTCAGTAGCTCCTGGATGTCTAGAATAATCCGAGTGTCCCGACACTGGCCTTGTGATGTGTGTGTACGCATGTGTATATGCTCATGTGTTTGTGGATGCACACGTATGCATGTGTATGTGTATGTGGAGGTCAGAAGTCAACTGCAGGTGTCACTTTATTTTTGAGACGGAGCCTTTCACTGGGACCTCAGGCTTAACAGTTCCGCCAGGCTGAACTAGAGAGCCCCAGGGTTCATTGTGTTTCTGCCTCCTCTTCAGGAATGGGATTGCAAGGGCATACCGCCACACCCAACTGTTTCACGGGGGTGCTGGGATTGAACTCAGGTCCTGACGCCTGCCCAGGTACTATGTGGTCGTTGACGGCTGTCTCTCCAGCTCTTTCTTTGTATTCTTCTGCAGCTTTGACCACAGTGCAGAGTGTGGTGCCCCACACTGGGGAGGAGGTTGTGAAGATTGAGACAGCCCTGCTCACCATGTAGCCAATCCCACGGCTCCCCGAACTTCCAGATCATTAAAAAAAACCCTCTGGAATCAAGACGTATTCTTCATGTAAATTATGTGTAGGATGACTAACACAGTCATATTTCAATAGTTTTGTCTCATACGTCTTGTGTGCGTTTGTCTCTCCAGGGTCCGATGGCTGCCTCAGGCATCCATTGCCACTGAGCGCTGGTCTCCAGTGCTTCGTATGGGACAGTTTATCTACAAGTGGTCTGTGACATCCTGTGTTGCTAGGGCCTAGGCCAGGGGAGCTACTCAGGAAAGTGTGGCCCAATGCCCCCCAAACAGGAAACCCTTCCTGAATTTGGACCCCGTCTCTCTCTCCTCTCAGGCTTTGCCCTCTCGAACCTGAAGAGGCCCGACACCATGTCTGCATTGCTTCCGTGTGTCATCTCGCAGAGCATCTCGGGAAGGCCCAAAGACACATTCTCCAGTCGGGGCGTGTGCGTGCGCGCGGGCGCGTGTGTGCGTGTTCACGTATGTGTAGAGGCGTAGCATGAAATCTGGTTATTCTGGTTGCACAGCAATCGCACTGAAAGCCCCAGAGCACCAGGCTGTCCTCATTTAGTTTAAAAACAACAGCCCTTTCCACCCCTTCTGGAGCTTGTTGCCTTCCCCCAAAAAAGCTTCCACAGCCACTCACACGGGTGAAACCCCTGCGTGCCTTGGGGACTCGGCACTGCCGCTGCCCCTCCCCATACCCCCTCGCTTTTATAGCTGGGGAGGCTGACACCAGATGGCCGCACAGATCTGGCCAAATTCAAACTAGATTGGAGTCTCTCAGGCCAAAAGGCAGAGACGTGCTGGCACCTAGCAGGAGTTGGCGCACGGGGCTGAGCAGGGCTTGGTGCCTGGCCAGAGGGGGTGTGAAGACAAAGCAGAAGGGCTCTCATGCCCTGGCTTGCTGTGGAGACGTGGTGCTGGTCAGAAGCGCCTGCCCCGGGATGGGCTGAACCCGGAACCAGACTCAACTGGGAACTAGACTCAAGCGGGAACCATACTCAACCGGGAACCAGACTCGACTGTGAAAAGTTCCGTCCCTGCCCGTTGTCTCTCCTTTGGACAGTGACAATTCCTCTCAACCCCCTCCTCCGGCTGTCTTGGAGAGCAGTTTCCCTCTAGGGTTTATTTCGCTCCATGTTCTGCCTGCCTCCAGAAACTCACAGAGAAAACACTTGGTCTAGCCTGGAGTAGGAGTGTTTGTGTGTGTGTGTGTGTGTCTGTGTGTGTGTGTGTGTGTGTGTGTGTGTGTGTGTGTGTTTGTGTGTGTGGTGACGTGAGATCAGCTTTGGAAGCAAGGAACTTCTGGGCTGGATTTTCAAGTGGGGCCAAGGGGGTCCAGTGAATGAGGGAGGGGGCAGAGGCCCACAGGGAGAGTGGGCAGGAAGCCAGGGAGGACAGTGAGCAAAGACACATCTCACGTGTATGCACGCCGCCTCCACGATTTTTATTACATATGACTACCACCCACAGGACATTTACATAATATTTTATTGGACTGGTTTTTTTTAAAGGCAAATGCGTTCTCTCCCTCCCCCCTTTCCATTTGGAAAGTAGGTCATTTCGATGTAATTTGATTTCAGAGTTGAAGGTAGCATGGTGAAGAGGCCGATGATCATGCCGTACGAGCCGTGGGATCTTTGTCAGACTTCTCCGTGTCACAAACTTCTAGGGAAGGACACTGTACTTACTGGGCAGCCCTGCTGGGGACAAGAGAGGTTATTATCGCTTGAGATTATTTCTAAAACCTCCTTTGATAGCCAGCGAACGCATCTACCTCACATCTACCTCAGCGTGATGTCAAAAACCCCCAGACTTCTTCCATTATACAAATGCAACTGCTTTGAAGCGCCACGCTCTATCACAGGCTTGCCGACTGCTTGCCCCCCCCCCATACAATTTAAATAAGGGCCTAGGAATTCAAATGAGAAACAGCCCTCTCTTCTCCCTGTAAGTTCATCTGGTGTATCCAGGGAACAGGGCATCACAGACAGGAGGGAGCCTCTGAACAAAGCCCTGACTGTGAGGAGGAGGGCCAGCCACTCACAGCCAGTGGGAGACAGGGAGCTCTGCTGCCGCGGGTATGGAGGATGGACAGGGCCTGAACTTGAAAGGGCTTGCATGCTGGCTTTGATGGGCTGGGATCATCTCTGAGATGGGAACAGAAAGCCACTGAGAGGCTGGGCTGTGAGACACTCTCAAGGCAAGAGAAATTCAAAATCTCTTTCCTGTGGTTCAGATTGTCTTTTGAGGGTCTCATTGTGGAGGCAGCCGTAAGGGAGGGGGGTTGGGGCTCAGTGGTAGAGTCTTTGTCTAGCATTCACAAGGGATCAGCCCCTAGTGCTGCAAAAGATGATTAGAAATTAAAATAATAATAATAAAGACTGGGGCGTGTATCTCAGTTGGTAGGGTAACTTGCATACTATCTGCAAAGACCTGGATTCAAGCCCAGCACCACGTAAAACCAGATGGCTCATACCTATAGTTCCCCGAACTCAGATGGCAGAGAGAGAGGGGTCAAAAAGTTCAAGTTTATCCTAGCCTACATTCAAAGTCTGAGGCCATTATGGGGCACATTACCGAACCCTGTCTCAAGAGTAAGACAAAACAAAACAGTTGAAGATTAAAAAATAAAAGTAACCATAAATTTGGATTCTCAGGAAACCCTGGACAGGAGGATCTTTAGCAAAAAGTGGACCATGAAAACACCATCCTTTTTCGTAACTAGAATCTTTGGACAAGTTGAGTAATGGTTTGTAGCCTCTAGTGTTCTGTCTGTAAGCTGAAGGCTTGCCCAGTCATCTGGGGGAAGGCTGGGAGGTCGCAGCCACCAGCCTCCTTGCCCACTTCCGTCTGCATCAGGGTTTCTCTGCTTTGGTATTGTTGATGTTTAGAGCCGGCTATAGCTCTTTGCTGTGGTAAGATGTCCTGTGCGATGTTTGGTGATGTTATGATTTGGTTGCGAAACGCTCCCTACAGCCTCATGTACTTAGCACTTGGGTCCCCAGGTGGTGATACTGTTTTGGGGAGGTCGAGGAGCCTTTAGGAGTCGGCGCCTAGCTGACAGAGTGGACCAGTAAGGGACGGAGCTTGAGGGCTTATAGACTAGCCTGCCTGGGCTCTCTGCTTCCCAGTCCCCGGGATTGTGAAGCACCCCAACCACACGCACTCATCTCCCTGAACTCTGCTGTGATGGTTAATGTCATCAGCGTAACAAGATCTAGAATGATTAGAAACCTCTGGGCAAGTCTGCCAGGAAGCTTCAAGGTTAGGCTAATTGAAGCAGGTCTTTCTTAGCTGTGTACAGTACCCCATTCCATGGGTTGGGTCAAAGGTTGAGGTGGGGGGTCTTAGAAAGATCAATTCAGGGGCTGGAGAAAAAAATCTCAGCAGTTAAAAGTGCATACGGATGCCCTTCCAGAGGACTAACTCACAACTGCCCGTCACTCCCTCTACAAGGGAGCAGACAGCCCTCCCTCTCCCCTCCTCTCCCCTTCCCTCCCTCTCCCCCTCCCCCTAATGCTCCCTCTCTGGGCACTGCACTCACGTGGACTTTACTCCTACAAAGACACCCATGCACACATATAATTAAGAGACTCTTTAAAAAACAACAACAATAACATAAAGCAAACTGAGTTCCAGCATTCACCTCTCTCTGCTTCCCAACTGTAGGCCCAATGTGACACCCCCCCCCCACAACCCTGCCACGGTACATACCCAACCACCACAGACTGCACCCTCAAACCTGGAGCCAAGTCAACCTTTCCTTCCTTAGATTGCTTTTGCTGACTATTTTGTCACACACCGAGAAAAAGGAATTCATTCGTCAACTGTGTCCTCCTTGTGGTAATGATGCACCTTCTCAGAGCCCATCACAGGGACGAGGAAAGTCACTGACCCAAGCGGTCCCTCAGTTATGACAAGCACAAATATCTCAGGCGTTGTCAAATATCCCCAGGACAAAAAGGAGGTGACCCAGACTTATCTTTGGAAGGGGGGGAAGAGTCGGTTCTGGTGGCCCTGGCAGTTTAGGCTGGATATATAGGAACTGAGACCTGCCTGCAGAGAGCCCAGTGTTGCCCCCTCCCCGCTCAGGTTTCTGAGCCTAGGGGGAAATGAGCAGCAGATGAAGGAGTTTTGTTACCGTCTTTATTACTGTAAGGGTCACGCGTTGGTTCTCTGATATTCATTGACTATCGATTCACTTAACTCTACTCAGGGACAAATACCCCACAGAGGGTCACATGCTCCCAGCACTCACAGGCATGACTTAATGCTTCTTTGCTTGGGCCTGTCTTCCACAAGAAGGCAGCCAAGAGGAGGAGAAAAGACCTTTGTTTTAGTCATGGAACAACTATGGGAGTATTCAGAACGACTGCCCAGCATGGCGGCAGATTCACACACAGTTTCCATGTCCTAGAACCTGGCCAACCTGTTCCTTGACTCATAAAAATAATTATAGTAAAGCACCACTAAGCACCTACTGTGTACCACTGCACACACTTACCTAATGTTTACAACAATCCATTATCCCTTTTATTACACCAGGAAATTGAAGGACTGGGAGACTGGATGACTTTCACAACACTGTAGGGCCATTAAGAAGAAGGCAGTCGTCAAAAGCGTAGACAGCAGACATGAGTTCAGGTCTGCTGGGCCCCATGTCCTGTGTTGTTTTTTTTCTTGTGCCAGACTATGGGTTCGCCTTCCTGGTGGCGCTGTGAGAAAGGTAAGGGCTGACGCTGTGTCAGCGCTTGCGTCTGGAAGAAGCCAGTCACTGGCTGCTTTAGCTGTGGAGTGTGGAAGCTTAAACCACACGACACGTAGCTCTGGAGAATGCTACCCTTGACGGTCTTAACCTTGTAAAGTGAAGCCTCGGATACAGAAAACCCCCCTATGCGTAGCTTACTTGATTATCGTGGTACTAGCTCTGTCAAGAACGGCCGGCCACTCTAGAAGCCCATCCTAGTCATAGGCCCAGCGTTTCATGAAAAAGTAACCACATTGCTCATGTACATCATCTCCTTCCTTCCTTCCTGCCCTCCTTCCTTCCTTCCTTCCTTCCTTCCTGCCCTCCTTCCTGCCTTCCTTCCTGCCCTCCTTCCTTCCTGCCCTCCTTCCTTCCTTCCTTCCTTCCTTCCTTCCTTCCTTCCTTCCTTCCTTCTCTCTTTCTCTCCCTCTCCCTCTCTCTCTCTCTCTCTCTCTCTCTCCCTCTCCCTCCCTCTCTCTCTCTCTCTTTCTTTCTTTCTTTTGTTGACAGAGTCTTCAGCCCAGGTTGATCTTGACTTCATGTGTTACTAAGGATGACCTTGACCTTCCGACCCTGCTGCCCCTGCCCTGCTGTGTGCCATCACACTGGGTTTCTGAGCGCAGGGTTTAAATTCAATGCCTCCTGAGTATTAGGCAAGAGCTCTGCTGAGGAAGCCACCCCCCCTCTTTTTCTTTCTTTTAGAGACAGCCCCATGTATTCCAGTCGGGACTCAAATCTCCTATGCAGCCAAGGAAGATCTTGAACTTCTGATTCTCCTGTCCCCAGTGCTGAGATTACCAGGCTTGGTTGATGCAATGCTGGGCATCGTACCCAGGGCCTTGGGGCATACTAAGCAAGCACTCTTCCTATTCAGCGGCAGCCCCAGGACCTGCCCCAGCTGAGTCTCCATTCCATGCATTTATCATCTGAGTATGTTGTTTATCTAAACATAGTAGTTTTTGTTTCAGAAGTTTGATACCCACCCCCAAGTCTGTTTTACCTACAGGTCTCCCCTTCACCCTTATCTTCTATGCATTTCTTACTTACTTTAGTTTTAGTTGTATGTCTAAGGTAGATCACACGATGTTTTGATATGATATGATATGATATGATTCCACTACCAGGCAGAATACACCAAGGCATCTTCCCTAGTTACCCTTTTTGTATGTGGTGGGGGAAGTTAAAATGTACTCTCTTAGAAGATTTCTCAGTATTCCATACAAATGCTGTTAACTCTGACTTCATACAGTGACACATTTTTAAAAATTCTTTTTAACTTTAAGTTTATGACTTTTAGCCTACTCTAATTTCTTCTGCCTTTCCCGTAAGTACTTTTTTTGTTTTTACTTTCCATTTCTATGTATTTGCCTTTTCCAGGAAAGATTTTCTGTGTAAGTGAGATCACATGATCTTTGCCTTTCTGTACCTGGCTTACTTCTCTTGGGTGGCCTTGAGGCTCCTCCATGCCGCCATCCCCCTGCAGTACATGAACCTGGATGTTCACACTTGAGCTCCTGCATTCGCTGTGCTTTCTCCCCCGTAGCTGAGACAGCCGGCTCCCCCCCCGTACTCTCATCCATTGCCCATCTCCCCTCTCCCGGGCACGATCTCATCTTCTTCCCAGAATCTGCTTCCGGAAAGCAGTTTTACATTCAACCTGCTCAGTCCCCTATGTCTCCTTCTCCCCTGGCTCCCACCCTTAGCCTCTCCAGCACGTGAGTCTCAACACTTCCCCAGCCGTGCACTCGGTCATGGAGACCCCCAACCCCCCCCCTCCCGGGGTCGCAGCGCCCTGATGGCTTCCTCAGACACAAGGCCCTGCCATCGTGTTTGTGTAAAGATGCGTGTGTGCAACGGCATTTGTGCCCCTGGATTCACACCCCCCCCATGGTTAATATAAGACTTCTTCCCTTCTTCTTACACATCTTCATTTAAATTAAAAAGAAACAA